GATTATTTTAGAAAGTCAGATTTTTTTTAGAAAAGTCAGATTTTTTGGAAAAAGTCAGAATTTTGAGATTTTGAGAAAAAGTCTGATTTTTTTTTTTTTTTGAGAAAAACTCACATTCTTTAGATTTTTTAGAAAAAGTCTGATTTTTTAGAAAAAGTCAGAATTTTGAGATTTTGAGAAAAAGTCAGATTTTTTGGGGGATTTGAGAAAAAGTCAGAATTTTGAGAAAAAGTCAGGATTTTGAAAAAAATTCAGGATGTTTGATATTTTGAGGGAAAAGTAAGGATTTTGAGAAAAAGTCAGAATGTTGAGAATTGTGTACATGACGGGATGTACTGCTTTCTATTCCTCCATCTTGTGACTGTAACTCCCTCTCTTGGATATCAGCATGTGAAGGACACTGTTCAGGAACTAGTTGATGCTCTGTATGTGATGACTACTTCCATTCTGGAGAGGATCACAGATACATGGATCCTGAGATTCAAGCTCAAGCCGGTAACGAGTGATATTTTTCTAACAATATTTGTATTTTTGTATTCAGGATTGTGGGAAACGGTATTTGGATTTCTGTCTGTACAAACAAACTGAAAGATTGACAATAAAGTTGCCTTTGCCTGACCTGCTGTTCTGCACAGGGAGGTGTTTCCTGTGGACGCCGTGGCTTCCCTCCACGAAGGCGCTGGGGGGCTTGTGGTAGACGGAGGCCAGGGATCCGATGTGGCAGATGAGCTCGTCGAGGAGGGTCGGCTCGATCAGGTCCGTCTCCTCGGAGATCAGAGGCTTCTCCGACAGCACCACCTCCTTCGCGGTCACAGGGTCGGTGGACAGCAGGCGCCAGTAGATGTAGCCTCGGTCACGCAGGTCGGGGTTATCAGAGTCCTGCAGAGGAGACATTCACATGTATTCAGCGAAGGAGGGAGATCTTAGGGACCATCATTACACTAGCTGTTACTGTGGTGGAAGCTAAGAGGGAGGCACGTCAAATAAACAAACAATAATCCTGAAATAATGTTACAATGACATGCTACAGAAAGCTAGGATTCTCAGATGGGGTTATTTACGAATAAAAAAATAAATAAAAATAGTTGTATGTATTGATTTAAATTGAAATGCATCCGCTAAGAAAAATAGTCCGTTGTTACCGTTTGAAATACGTAGCAACGGCAGGAAGGCGGAGCTTTTTGATCACAGATTTGAAAACATCGCTGCTTGCTTTAAAAGTAGCACAACTCATTAAGTCAAACCTTGGGAAGTATCTAGATATCCCTGCCCTCATGCCAAAGGAACAGCACACTGAATATGTGTCGCCGTCTGATGTCTGTGTCTGGACCGTTGCGTAAAAAGGAGGGTTTCTGCCCCGTTGCTTCTCCGCTGTTTTCTTGGCGCTCTTGTCTTGTCAGTTGCTTTTTGGCCAAACTGTATTCAGTTAAATCGAACGGACTTCTTGAGGCAGATGTGAGCATCCTACAACGGTCAATAAGTGCTTGACAGCGGTCTGCCTGTTCTGGATTAACAACGTGTCACGTGTTCTGAATTGACCAATCAGAAAAGAGTATTCAACTAAGCCATGTAATAAACACCAATAAATGATCAATTGCTTTGCAAATTTCTCCACAAAATAACCAGAAACTTATTAAAAAGGTAGGGAAAAAAAACGGCTAACAGATCTTTTCAATTTCACTGTATTTTCACTTTGTTGTTTCTACTTTTATACGTATTCAATCAGTGTAATTTAACATTTTGAATCATTTTTTGAAAAACATGCAAAATAATGCAGCAGTGAAGAAATAAATCCTCCAACTGGAGCCAAGGTGCCGTGTCTCACCTGAGTGGCCAGGCTGAGCACCTGCTGCACCAGCTCCTGAGTCTCTGACGGCTTCTTCAGGAACAGCTTCACGATGGCAGTCAGCAGAGTGAGCTGGACCTGGAAATCAAAGCACACACTGTCATTATATTTTCAGTATAATATAAAATGAGTCAACCAGGATAAGATGTGGGACGTCCAAAGGTTACTATAAAGTGTGTAAAAGTGAAACATCCAAAAGTGTTGACCTGCAGCACTCAGCTGACAGACATAACGGAAACATCTACAAAGCATTCAGGAAAAATATACTCCATTGTGTGCTCCACAAGTTAAAAACATGTGGTTTAGTTTTAATTCTGGCTTTTGAAAATTGCATTATTTAAGATGCTGTGTCCCAGTGGCTACAAGGACTCTTATTGCACATTTTTCCTTCAGGGTATACGCAGGAATCCTGAAGTCAAATGTAAAACCTTTTAAGACCTCATCGCCACTTGGAGTTTTAACCGGTTACTTTGGCGACACAACTTTTACCTCACACTGACTAATATACAGTATTTATTGTCCCCTTCCCTCCTTATCTTCCAACTATACGACGCAGACTTGCATTTCCCCATAACGATGTTGCTTAGCAACCGGCGTAAACGGGCCTTCGCGCTATCAAGCAGTGAGCGAGCGATGTCCTGTTCAGATGACGTCAAATCCAACGGGATGCCATAAATAAACTACACAGAATCACACTACACACCTACGCAATGATTACATTCAGGCAGACTGTAGAATACAACCTCTTTGGACCATTTATATACTTATTGAGAACAAGCTACAAAATGCCGTATAATACTTTTTAAAAGCCTTCATTTCTTCTAAATTGATTTATCAACTTTTAATACTTGTTAAGACCCCCCGGACACGCTGTCCTTCCACTTCTCGTGTTTTAGTAATATGTATGTATTTTATATTATTATTTGATATGAAAAAAGTTGTTGATCTTTGATTCACCACACCTTCTGTTGTTTTGTGCAGTTCTCCTGTATAACGAGGTATTAACCGGCACAGTGAATGTAATATAGAGCACATACAGTCCTTTCCAAAGTCAACCGGGCTAGATTACTCTCAGATTTAGTTTTATTATCCGTGTAAAACAACCCTACTAACAAAAGGAGCCTTCAGGAGAGCAGAACTGATGGCTAGTAAGATGTGTGGACCCACCTGGGTGCTCTCGTCGTGGAAGCCCTCCAGGAAGCTCTCCAGCAGCTCGTCAGCGTTGTCGATCCTCTCGGCGTACTCGCCTACGATCCAGATCATCGCAGCGCGAGCGTCCGGCTCATCCAGAGAGTCCAGGTTCTCACACAGCGTGGCAATGATGCTCTCATACCTGAACAACAGCAGTGTGTCAGGCGTCAGGAGGACAATATACAATAGGGGGGTCAGCATCTTTTTGAAAAGTGCCGTAAAAAGATGGATGAATCACAATTTTTGATGAATATAGCTAGTCATTATTGTAACTAGTGATGAATCCAGAGGGAGCACTGAAGGAAAATGCAGATATATAATATGAGTGTTAGACCTTAAAGAGATTTATTGTTCTTGGGTTACATAAATATATTTTATGAATCGCTTTTATGAAAACCTGCCGTTAATACAGGTGCGTGGGAAAAAAAGAGATAATCATTTGAATATTCTTTAAAATTTGAAAATCAACATGATGAATTAAGCTTTTAGGATATTGGGTACCGCCCTACTGGTTCTCCAGGAAACAAGGGAAACCTACTTGTTGGGGTACTTGCGGAAGATGTCCCTGATGACCACGATGGCCTCCTGGACCACGTAGTTGACTTTGGTCTGGATCAGGTCCAGCAGAGTGCTGACACAGCGCTCTGCTGATTGCTGGAGTGAAACAGAACAGAGGCTTAAACAAGAGGAAACATCAGCTGACCAGGTCATGTCAATTTATAACGGTCAATCAGGAAAGAGGAGACTTGGCACACCTAAGATTTCTCAATATGACTTGACTTTTTATCAATCAAAACATCAGGACTAGACAGGAAACACTTTCACCATCAAGGAGACACTGAGTTATAATGTTTAGTCTCTGCTGAGAGGCTTTGATGTTGCTATAGTTCAAAATGCCCAGGTCACAAGTCTGACATGAATAAAGATCATTTTGCTGAAATGAACACGAGAAGACTTCGGCGTAGAGACCAGAATCGATGAAAGCGTTTCTCACCTCCACTTTGATGGCACAGCGTCCGATGGCTCGGACCGCCTTGCGCACAAAGTCGACATCGACCTCTGTGGCGTATTCCTTCAGCTCGGCCAGCACCTGAAAGTAGGACAACAGTTTTCAGTTTTGATTTAGTTTAATGGATTTTGTTCCAGTTGAATGTCTTTTAAAAAATGTACACATTCAAGCTTTAACTTAAGAATGGACAGGACATCAATTATTATACTAGTTCACTTCAAAGTAGTATACGTATGGGTATTTACACAAAAGGCAATGCTGTAAATGATAACTGTTCAATCAAAACTGTTTGGCAAATGATCTTTCTAACAAAGTTCCTGTTTAGTTTTATATCAGGTACCTGGGCAATGTTGGCCTGGGAGGCCAGGCGGATCATGATGTCCAGTTTCTCCAGCTTCACATAGATGGGGTCGTTGTACTTCACAAAGAAAACCTTGATCTCCTGCTTCAGGATCTCAGGCCTGCACACAGAGCAACACATGACATATTAGACTGTGGGGAGACCTGATCCTAAAGATACAAGTCAGAGAGAAAGGCCTGATGTTCTGAAAAACATATCATTATGTTCTTGGCCGGACATTTTTTATTTGGGTCACCCTCAAGTCAGAATCAGAATACCTTTATTAGTCCCACAGAGGGGAAATGTACATTGTCACAGCAGAAGAGCCACAGACAGCTTAATGTTACCTAAAAAGCATGCATAAAAAAAGTATTAAAGAAGTCATTTTCTAGTTAAATTCAGATATAGGACTTTTAAGGACATTCTTAATGCGCATTTGAAAATCAAAGAGAAACCTTCACAATAAACAAAATTAAGGAAAACAACAATTTTGCCCAAATTTGGTTCCCATGTTGTCACTGCCATAAGGCGCTTTCACACCAAGTACTTTGCCGTACTTAGTTCCCAGTACTTAGTTCCCAGTACTTAGTTCCCAGAACTTAGTTAATCAGAACTCTTTAGTTCTGATGAACTAAGTACTGATCGCGTTCACACCGGAATAAGTCCCTGGGGAAGGATTAGGCAAATGAAGCCGCTGACGTCACTTCTTCTTCTTCTGCTTTGGGTTTACTGGCAGGCCGCAAACAACTTCACGGCGTATACTGCCACCCGGAGTCCCCGGCCCGGAAGTCCCCGGAGTTGGGGACTGGCTTCAGTAGAAGCTGCTGGGACTACCGACACCTCCTCATCTCCACCGCTCCCATGTTTTCTTTTGTGTTGCCATAAATTAGTCTCTCTGCGTTTGTGCACTGGGCTAATGCTAATAATGCTAATGTGAGGATAATAAAATGGCGGCTTCACAAAACTTTTTTGGAGTTTTACGGGGCGTGGTTTGCAATAAGCCCAGCCAATCAGAAATAGGAACCTTTTTCTCCCATGAAAGTACCTGCTCTCTAGCAGGGACTGAAAAGGGGGTGAAAAGGTTTTCATGAACTAAGTTCTAGTTCCGGATTTTTTTGGTGTGAACGCACATTTTCGGAACTATATCGGAACTATACTGGGAAAGATACTCCGGTGTGAAAGCGCCTTATAGACTTCTGCTCGGAGTATCCCAACTAAAAAAACAATATGAGTGTTGTTCTGCTTTCTGTACTTTAGCTACAGGCTAATCCATAATATCATAAAAGGTAAGATAAAGTTAATTGAGTGACAAAAATACAGCTTCTATAATTTGTGAGCACGCACCTTTTCTGGACGATGAGGTTGATGTTCCTCAGAGCCACGTACTGGACCTCCGGCTCTCCGGACAGCAGGGTGACCAGCGGGGGGGACAGCTTCTTCAGAAGCGTGTTGTAGTAATCCGAGTCTTTGGGCAGCAGCTCCAAGAACTTCATCAGCACCTTCACAGCCGACAGCACCACGGCTGAGTTGGCATGAGACAGCCGGGGGGTGACTCGCTCACAGATGCTTCAAAAGGGGAAGGAGGGAAAGTTGAGAGTCAGTGAGGAACAAAAAACGTTGACAGGACGTGTGGAGGAAACTCTTAAGAGAAACTGATAAATGATTCATGGGCAAAGTTATGTAGGAACAGAGCCTCTTCATCCTCAGAGGAAAAAATAAGTTCTGCACCCCGAACACGGCTTACAGCATATATTCATGAAAGGAAACAGCCCACGGGTCCTACATCCCATCATTAAACAATAAAACCCCTAATCCTTAACCATTTGCAAATCCCCTCTTACACTTCCCTTTGCCCTCCTGAAATATAAATCCTGAACATATGACTGTTAACCACATATAAGATACAATTTAACAGTGTAAAAGGCAATCAGAGTATAAGACTATGTGTTTTAAATGATTATATATTATGTATTTATTTCAACAAGGACCATGCATACAAAAGAGAAGATATGAATTATGCCAGATTATATCTAATAGCTCATTTCCATCTGCAGTCCTGAGGCAGGTGCATAACAATCAACAAACAAAACAAAGATATGATCATTTGACACAACAGGGCGGTCAACCAGCACAAGCCCACATCCCATGCTCTGAGGTGCCGTTACCTTTGGGCCTCGCGCTCGTCCTTGGGGTTGTAGTTGGACAGGCAGTCGAGGATGAAGATCTGTCCCCACTCGGTGCACTCGTTGAGCGCGGTCAGCAGCTTGTTGATGTTCTGAGGGTTCAGGTCCAGCAGGTTGCTGTTGGGGTGAGACTCGCTGATCTCAGACAGGGCAGCCACTGCATTGGCCACCACCTGCGAGAAGGAGATGTGATTTTAATGTCATCAAAAACTGCACTTAAAGACCCCACACGAAAACGCTCCGAATACGATATCAAAAAAGTCTTCCCTTCACACGAGACCGCTCGGAAGCGCTGGAGACGCTGTAGTACATATGCCGGGCCTGTAAGTGGCGCTGTACTTCCGCCACAAAATACACCAAGAAGACCCCCGAGCATGGTTGCCCTTCTTTTTATGCCCCGCGGTAGATTTAGCAACATGTAGTTCATGTAATTCTCCATGTCCACTTGTTGCGGATGGTTGTGGTAGAGGAGCTGTAGATTTTGCACTAACATCTGTAGCATGGTCCGTAGCTACCGACAGTAGCTACTGACCATGCTACAGCAGTGAGCAGCAGAGGCGGGGCTATGGCTTCATCGTTATCAGGAAATGATCGTATATAGGGCGTACACACGGAGCCGTTTGGCCCCCCAGAGCGTTCCGGTTGCAGATCTATCCACCTTGGGACCCGTTATCGTTTGAGGGGTCCGTTTCCGCGTTTCCGTTACGGCCTCGTGTGAACGAACGGGCTATACGAAAGACAAAAGTAGCGGATACATACAACCCGTTTGCGTTCTCGTGTAAACAGCACCTGAAGCACAACTCTTCAAGCTTGTTATTTCCTGTTGAACTCCTTCCCTCCGAGTCATAACTCCGCCAGTTCTTACTGAAATTAAATGACTGTTCCATCATTTATTTGTTTTGTATCTAAATTAATTACATCTTGTGCTTTTTTCAGTCCTGCATGTATGAGTGTCCAATTGTTGAATTAAATGTTTTTGAAAGTGTCTGAGTTCTTAGAAAGTAGAAAAGTGCTTAATAAATGGAAGAATCTATATGTATAATGAAACTCTAGAGAACTAAAACAGTAGTCAAAACATTTCCTCGAACACAATTATTTTTGATCATTGTAAATTTGCATCACACTTTTAAAATGGTGCAATTGCTTCGGTGCCATGATGCAGACTGTATTGTGTAAAACACGTATCCAGCTTGTGATATACGTATATAGATATTTTACTGTAAACCTAGATTTTAACCGCCTCTTCAAACTAATTTTCTAAGCAAAACCGTGCCTCAAGCAACAGAGGATGAAGGCAAACCACTGCAATTCAAACGCATGCAAACCTGATTCAAACGCCATCTCATCCCAGAAACACCCCAGTTCAACCCTATGCCTCTAGATTGCGTAGTAGAGCGTCTACTACTCAATCTAGAGGAATAAGGTTAACATATATAACATATATGACATGCTGCCATTTGAATCAAGCTCAAGTTCCATGATGGTCTTCAAATAAAGTCTAGTCCTAATCAATTAAGGCTCAGGTATAAAAACATGTCACCTACCATGGGATTTGAGTCAGCGATGAGGTCCCTCAGGGAGTCCAGGAAGCCCTGGTCCTCCACCATCTGGGCGTTGATGTCATGCAGCTTGGCCACGCAGACGGCCGCCGTCTTCCTCACGTACGGGTCCTCGTCCTTCAGGCACTTCCTGAGCGGCTCACACAGATACTCGGTGATCTTGTCCACACGGATGCAGCCCATGGTGCGGACGGCCAGAGCGCGGATCAGAGGGTTGGGGTCCTCACAGTCCTGAGGGCGAGACCAGAGAGGCAGGTGGGGTTTTAATAAGATTAGATTTCACTGAGAAACAAACATTTAGTACCGTACTTTTCTCATAACTACTCTTAGATCTTAAAGTCATCATATCCTTTCAGATGTCTGTACTTTGTTATCCCTGTGTCATCTGTATACTGACCTGTGTTTATTTACATGCCTATTCATTTGATTGTACACTGCATCTGCCACCTAGACTGACCCTTTTATGTATGTGTAATGTTCGTTATATTTGAAAACTTCAATACAAATATTGTAAAAAAAAAATCATCTTTTTGTTTTAAACAAGATTCTAGGTGATTTATGTTTGATAATAACTACCAATACAGTTTCCACTGCAGCTTAGTTACTGGGCTCAAAGGGGAAGAAACAGATTCAATGTATTTTCTGATCTAATAACAGAAACAAAAAGGTAATGTTATCAATTTTCATGGATTAATTGATTTATCTGTGAAGCTCTGATGACACTGGTTTGTGGGAACCCTGTTAACTAAACTGTGGGAGACTACAGCAGCTACATTTGAAAATCCAACTCATTCCAGAATTGTCATAGATTGTTGACAGGGATTTATTTCAGCTGAGTGTAGATGAATTCAAAGTTTCAGATACACTGGCCCTATTATACACATACACACGAAAAACACAAGGTAAGTTGGCCCTGCCTTGACGAAGCTGTTGACGGCCATGATGGCCATGTCCGGCTGGCTCTTGGCGTAGTTCATCAGGTAGAGGTACACCAGCTTCTTCAGCTCCAGGTTGTCGGTCTGCATGCAGTTCACCACATCTGGGAACAGAGAACTGACAGCAGGGAAAGATGCCTCTGTTTAGTTCATCTTGTGTTTACATTGTGAGCAAGGTGATAAACAGGTCCTCCTAAGGGTCAATATTTACTCTCTCAGAAGTGTATGTACAGTGTGAAAGCTCAACCCTTCTTCATTTGTGAAACTTTACCAAACCGTTTTCAGATTGGTTGCTTTTTTCCCCCCAGATGTGGAAAGGTGTGAAACTGGGCAGAGTGGTAGATACTGTAAGTCTCCACATTCCTTACCTCCACCACCGTCTGTTCTCAATTAACTTTTCTCTATTAAGAATATTTAAGTGCACAGGCACAAAGTTCTTCCTTGCATTTCCACCCTATTTATTGATTTCCTTGCCCCTTGCTTTGTCTGTAAACCCTCAAACTGATCGATTGCTTGTGTCAGAAACCTGAAACCCATTGAACAGCTGTACAAGAGAGCTATCAAGGTGTTTGACAGAAAGCCATATTCATACCACCACTGTACCATCCTCGAAAAACACAATTTCTTGAGCTTTGACAAGTCTTTTAAATGTATGTGTTTTATTTATAAATGTTTACATGCCTCCCCCCCCCCTCAGGGGAATTTATCCACAAAAAACACACTGGACGCTGCACTAGGTCAGAAACCAGAGGAGACTCTGAAGTCCACCGTAGACGGACCACTTTTGGACAAAATGTCCTTTCCATTAAAGGCAGCTCTTTGTGGAATAGCCTTCCAACTGAGATACGGGATTGTCCACTCTCAATAGCTTCAAAGGTCAACTCAGAGAATGGTT